ATAGATATAAAATTAAGCATAAAGGAGATGTATAACACATGACTTTTTTTATACGATGAAAATATATATTAAATCTGTTCTTGAATCTTCATTTTGATAGCGTTTTGAATAAAAATTGGTTTTACATATTTAATTAAATAAAAAATATAAATAACAGCATAATAATAAACATAGTTCAATTTTAAACTTTAGTTTGAAAATATCGGATTAAAATATGTATTACATTTGAATTAAAGGATAAGTTGCAAGACCAGTTATTTTGTATATTAATATTAATAAAATTATTAATTAATAAATTTCAACGTATTATGGCAATATTTTTTGCACATAAAAATATTTAAAACAAATGCCCCGTACATTTACACTTTTTGTCTTTTCAATGATGTGCTTTAATTATACGTTTCATGCACAAAAGTTTGTATTAAATAAAAATACTTTCGTATTATTCCGCATTTTATTTTATCAGTCAAGTCTGATGTTTAATAAATAAAACTCTAAAGTAAATTTGGTAAGCAGTAAAGTAACAATATAATGGGTTTTATTAAATGTTTATTTAGCAATTATATTTTCATGAATAAGAAACGTAGCATACATATTCACTTTTTGTATGTGTCTATGTGTGTTCATATGTGTATGTATGATCAGAGGTACGAATATATAATACTAACTGACGGGATAAAATGCACGGAATTGTTCAATTTAAAAACTTAAGGCAATCGACAATTATTTGTGTGAAGTTAACATACAATAGTCCGTCACTCTGTACTTATTTCTATCTATATTCCTAATAAGCTATTAACATTTTTTTTTCTTTTTCTAGTATTTTTCATTTTTTTTTTGTATTTTTATATATTTTTCATGTTGTCTGTTATCAAGTCAACACTAAAGAACGCATTTATTAGCAAAATCTCTCCAATGTTAACTGATTGGGAATTACCAGATATACTATATACTTAGATATACTATCATCTAAAAATATATTATAAAAATTAATAACATGTAGGGCTTAGATAATGATAAATAAGATTTATATATTTTCAGTACCTTCCAATTTTGAATATTTTGAGAAAAATAGGATAACTGTCCCAATTACTGCCAGTGTCCTAATTACTGCTATTTTTTTTCAATTGTATGAGATCATTATACATTAAAAATATTATTAATGTTAAACTGTTATGTAAATATAAGCACAATTGTATGAGATATTCGATATGTTTTATATTTGTAAAATAATTAAAGAAATTAGGAATGTTACTGAAGATGCAAACTTTTCTAATTAGAAGTGAAGCAAAACTGTATGACTTGAAAATATAAGCATACGTCGTATTTTCACTTTTTTATATGTACTAAAGTGATTTTATAATAACGTTTAAATGATATTTTAATAAAATAATCATAAAAAAATGATAGATTATTTTTCGAACTTATTTCCTGATGAAAAAATTTTGCTGAAATTATCCTCCGTTTTGGAAAATTTCATGAAATTTCACTGGAAATGAATTTTTCAGTAAATATACTAAAATATATTAAAAAATTGAAATTAAACTAAAATTTCTATGAAATTTTGCCGACATGAAAATGAATTTTTCAACGATAAATTGTTGAAATTAAACTAAAACTTTACTGAAAAGTGTTCCAAAAATAATTTTAGCGAAATTTTTCCACCAGGAATTTATTGAAGCAGCGTTAAGGATAATTATTTAAGGTTTGTCAGCATTACTGCCGACAGTAAATTTGTCCTGTTATGCGTGAACATGTAATGTCCAATTCGCTAATTACTGCCAATTTGAACGTCTTTGACTAAAGAAGTGGTAGGTATGTATTCTTAGTGAACGATATGGTAAATATTACTAACAAACATTACTAAATAATGATATTTTAAAGATATTTTTAGCGAGATTTCCAGATTTTGATAATGCGTAATAAATGGGTGGCAGTATTAGATACATACGGCAGTAATTGAAGATGCACTATTTGAATAAAGACTGGCAGTAATATGTGTTCAATACCTTATATTTTATTTCTTTCACTTTTATTTCTATATTTAAATAATTAGTTTTCGAACTTGTTGCTTTTATTTTGTACATATTAAAGTTTTTACTTGAACATAAAAAATGATATCTATTGTCTCAAAAACATCAAACTAAGCATATCAATTACCATTATGTGTTTAAAGCGATAATAATCGGAACAGTTATCCTATGAATGAAATGTTTTTCCTCATGTTCGATTAGCACAACATAATGTAACGTTCATGTTTTTGATTTGTGGTTTCAAATTTGCAAAGCTATGCCATCCACATGATAGGAAGCACTGTTTTAAGTTAACTAGCAATCAATTTATACGAACACAATTTATCATAAACAAAAATTTCAAAAAGATTCATATTTTACGAAAAGTCAACTGGATCATCCAAATTTTGTTTTTACTAGATGTTTGCGCAATTTCTTTTTACTCCATAAACATGAATTATGTTCTGAATTACAAAAAGATAATTGCACATTTTATAAAGAATATCAGTCAATTACTCATAAATAATGTCGTTCTTAAATGATAGAATGAAAGCGATCAAAACTTATTTGGTACTCGCATAACAGATATTAAAGTCTAGATTATACATATTGATAATACTTAAAAATAATAAGCAAATGTACTTATACATATATTACGGAGAATAACGCGGTGGTACCCAATCTGCCACAATTAACATTGAGATATATCGATAATAAATTTTCTCTAAAATTTGACAGCTCGTTGCCGTGATGTTAGTTGTTCAGTACGACTACAGATTCCGTCAAATTCTTTCACGTGGGAAGCTTTGTCAGCGGCTTATATGCTCGTATAGGAGTTATTAACATTGTGTTCAAGAGAATGAATCGATATACCCATTGAAAGCCTTTTATGTACGCGTTCTACGTATTCGCGACTATAATTTTTTTTTGTTTTCTCATCAAGCCTCTTTAATTTAACGCCGAAGTTTTTCCGCACTAGATATAATCGTTTGATATAAATGTGGTTTTCGAAACTTATATATTTCCCAATTTGCAATTAATAAGAAAAAGCAAATTATATATGTATAGTAAAACTTAAAATATAAAAGAAAAATGTGCCGTTTCCCAGAATTTTCCAATTGTCCTTTTCAGAATTTTACCTTAGACTTGGTAGTACCTGTAATAAAATATAACAAAATACAAATAATTACATCTGAAATCATATATTAAATTCATGAAAAAGCGAAGAGAAAGTCGTTACAGTAAACGAAAAATGATTAAATAATCAAATAGTAGAAAAAAAATTGTAGAGCTGAGAAACTTCAGTATCTTTTCTCTCGAATCAATACCTGCGCGTTAAATTTGAGAGGCAGAACTGCTTGCCGATTACTCGATGGCATAGAGCATGTAGAGATTGCCAGCGTCACTGCCTGGTGGTACCAAGGCATGAGTTGGCGGCAGGACCGTGAAACCCAAGAACATGAAGGTACGAACCAGCATTGCTAGACCATAACAACAGAATGATTTAGACGGTGAGTCTTTCTCATCAACGCAAAAGTCTTCGACGTTTGTGCCGAAGAATGGCAAACGACAAGTACCTCGGTCTGATCTATCTTTGCGAAGGCAAACAATGATATTGGTGCAGCGTAGTGTTTCTTCGGCGTATTCTAGGAGCGAAACAAAACCTTCTTTTGATCCTTCAGGCAGAAGGCAGCTGGGTACGCGAATGTATAGACAGCGGCGCCATGCTACGGTCTCCCACTCGACGGACGTACTCTCAGTCAAGTGGAGAGTGAACGTTAGACGCAATGGTTCGTTGCTTCTTATGGCTTTCAACAATTCATCCTCCTGTAAATCGTAACAAAAAAAAAACATGCGACCAATCAGAATTTAGCTCTCGTTCGATGCACGTTATTTCACACTTACAATCGTAAATAAATCGATTTCTGAAGACGTCTTTAAATATAAAAAGTACGTACTTGTACAATGTGGGAGCTCACAGAGAGCTGACTCTGCTTGATCCCCACGCCGCGGCTCTCTGTGTTGACTGTAGATACAGACAATGCGGCATGGGGCACATCAGGACCACCACAGAGGCCCCACGCCCAGCGTTATACAGTAGTGCTGTTGCAGTCTGGAGCCTTCCTCTAGGCTCTCGTCCATGCATTTACTAGACATTTCACTGCAATATACATTTTAATTATTAAAACTAAATCCTATATCTTGTAACACAATCAAATACATCAAAATACATCAACTACAGCTGTAAAAACTATAACATCTAAATTTTAAAGCGTCTTGTTTCAATTTTGAAAACAGAATGCAAATGAATGTAGCTTTACGACGATTGATAGAGGAAGATTCAAAGTTTTTTTATTTATACATTGCAATTTAAAACTTTATCAATGGTACAGATTGTACAATCGTCTACAAATTTTGCTTCGGATTCAAATGATTCGTTGCTGCAGGTCGAAGGTTAAAAAAATTGACTTATTTTTAAATAAATAACAATGCAATCTGTTTAGAACTGTTATTGGTTATTGCAAGGATATATGCAAGCATGATTGAGGATTACGATAAAGGAAAAAAGATAAATCATTAAAATATCAATACGCAAAATACTTTTTTTTTTTTTTCAGTGAATAAATGAACGTCCAATTGACGTCACGAGGTGTTGTTCTTTAAAGAGCAGCTGACGTATTCGGAACATAAACACAGTAAGTACTGCCAAGATTCTTGAAATTCTTAATATATGGAATGCTTATGTAATTTCAGGATGCATATATAACTCTTCTCCAGGCCAAGGATAATCGGTTTATCACAGGGGACTAGATATACTACCGCGAATCAAGACATTTAATCTTATTAAACGTTTATTAATAACTGGTGATCGCACGAAATACAACTACAGTGGCTGTTATCGTCGGCGAATGTCATTGATAATACACCGTTTCTGCCAGAGTGTCACGAGAATGTATGGGGAAAAAAAGCAGAAAAGACATGTCTACCTTGGCATTTGAGTGGAAATTTCAGCGGGATATAGCGAGCGGTAGGGAGTTTTCACCGATGGTGATATGACGTCCCGTCGAGTCGCGTCTACCGCGGCGAAGCAATGCGGAAAAAACCGGAGCGGAATCCACGGTTAAAGGGAAAATGCGCGACTGCCGCAGCAGGCAGCCAAGGTATGCGATTTATATGATACATGCATCAGGACCTGAGCATAAAGATGGCTGTAACTAAGTTGTGAAACGTAAATCATAGTTATAAGTCAACATAATATTTGGCATGACTATGTATGCTGCATAATATACAACATATAGTAATATATGTTGATCTACGACTCACTTTTCACGACTCAATCAGACTAATTGTCAGTTACAGTCTTTGGACTCAGGTCTTTACTGAGTATCGTCGGACTGAGAATCGTATTAGCGACGTCATTTAAACGGGCGTTCCGCCAAACAATAATGCGTGTTTTGCGCGTTGCGGAGAGAGAGAAATATATGTGATCGGTCGGTTTGCTTACATTTACAACGTTTTTGATCGAATAATTCATGCGAGTTAAATGTTCTATTCTATAGTTTTGCCTCACCTTGACATTAGAAAATATCAGACTTACGTAAAGTGTAAATGTGTACCCGCAACACTATGTAAATGAGATTAAATTATGTGATGCGCAATTTATAAATAATTTGCTGCGCTTGCGTATATATGTCTGCGTGCATGTTGCAGCAATTAAGGTAAATAGGTCATTTAAAAGTAATAATATTAATAAGAATCTATAATCCACCCATTACATATTAGTCATTATATATTAGCATATTACCTCAAGCAATAATCGCATCTTGCATTTTGAATAACAAAGATTCCTGCGATTATCAGAAAGAGATATATTATGATATATTATTTCCTTATTTTGATATATTATGATATATTATTTCCTTATGTCAATATTTAGAAAATTATATACGGAAAGAACAATTTGCTGAGGAATTAAAAAATTAAAACAGATCCGAAAATATATAATTTTGTTGAATCTTTAAAATTATTATGTGGAACATTTAACTGATTGCTAGAATGTCAAAACTTTTGGCAGCATTGCTTATCATACTCGAAATTCCTATGTATAATTATTTTGAACTGTTCAACTTTTTAAAAGGAACCTAGAACTCTGATGAGAACTCTCCGGAACTATAGATTCGGTGCTAACTTCACACACCCATTATTTTGATGATTCATTATATATCTTTTCAAATCATTATGAATTTTCAGTCATTTTTCACAATACACGTTAAACTGTAATCTCGCATAATACCGTGATTGCATCATAACAATACACATTCTTCAGCAAAAATAATTTTGCTAAAGAATCTAAAAATTTGATTAAATATAAAATTATTTTTGCTGAAGAATGTGTATATTGTTATGATGCAATCACGGTATTATGCGAGATTACAGTTTAATGTGTATTGTGAAAAATCCATAACTGATAATGACTGATAATGTGACAGTATCAATCACACTTAGATTTGACTAACGAATGAGGATTTCCCTAAGTATTTAATCTTCAGTATATAATTTCAATAATGTGTAAAATTATAAACAACAAAAATCGAGCGTGTTTTACGATATCCTGCATGAACTCCAATTTAAAAAATGACATAATAAGTAAATTTCATACAGCCCTCAATTATATGGAAGTCTCAAAAAAAATCGAAGATACGATTTCCAAGTTCAAATGTTATCGATACGGAATGTAATAATAGGTCATCTATTTACGTTTAAATGTTTAATATAGCCTGATAATATTCCTCATTTACTGCGATACGTCAGAATGTAATAAAAGAAGCGTTAGTTCTTTCTTCGATATCTATTCGGAGAAAAAAAAATGACACATTTGTATACAAAGCGTTTATAATGAAATTTTAAAACGTACGACTTAAGCTTTGAGAAACTGATCAATCACAGTCGAATGTGAAGAGAATAATCGAGTGTGATTGGTAAATTTCTTAAGGCTTAAGGCTTAAAGATTAAGTTTTCTTATTGTAGACGTCGCTTACGAACGCACAAGCGAAACCAGAATAATGCCAGAATAATTCGTCTTCGTGCTTCGCGACTCTTCACGCAACAACGACCTTGCACGTTCCTGCACGAGCCTCGTTCGCGTTTTATTAATCGTTCTGGAAGCTTCTCGGAACCAATTGACAAATTTAATTAGAAACGTACACGCCTGCAACATTATCCAATTGTACTCTTCCACGGGGACAAAATGTTTTGAATGCGATGACATTATCACTCGCAATCAGCCGTTTAGCGTAACGATTCATCTTAAAGAGGATGAATCGTAGGAGCGAAGAAACCTTACGACGTTATTCGAAAATGTTTGCATTCGTATTTATTAGCACATTCTTTCAAACCGATTAATTTGAAAAAATGAACTTAGAATTAATCACTAAAAATAACTACATATTTATTTAAAAATAACTACATATTTATTTTAAAACATAATAAATCAAAATTTAGTTGTAAATACAAAAAGTAAGAAAACAACATGGATAAAAATATTTTAAAGTTTCATGTGACATGTTGTTTGTTGCTCAGTACATACGTGTCATTGCACAAACGAGAAATGATTCGTCCTTTAATTACAGTCCATATAATAGTAAGTACAATTTAATTCGCTGACTAATGAAATTATATAAGGGATATAAGGCAATAATCGTGGTGTTAATGCAATTATGTATGTAGAAGCTGATAATGTGTTACAATTATCAGTATTTTTTCTTATCACATAAAAAAAGAGCGATGATAATGCAGCCAAAAATAGATGACAATACTTCGAGTACGTGCGATCGATTAGAGACTTGTATTTAAAAATGCAAAATGTGACAAATATCACGAAAAACTTCTAAATTTTTAATAACATTTAATAATTTTTCCAGGGAATTTCCAAAGAAATAAGTAAGAATGGCATAGCCGAATATTTTCGAATTTATTAAATTCATTTCATCTTATTTTTATTACATAAATTTACTCTTTTTAAATCGTTGAAGAGCCTTTTAAGACAAAGGCGCGAAACAACGATTTCGTTGAATTACCTAAAAATTTAGCTACATACAAAAATTGGAAAATAATTTTGTTCGAACTAAAATAATTATGTAAGACTTAAATTGGTTGCTGAAATGTTAGAACCTTTTACGATATCTTTTATCATTTTTTGTCGCCTAAACGTTCTGTATAATTATTTTGATGACTCGACAAAGTTATTTTCAGATCTGTATTCAGTTAAAGTTTTAAAAATACTTCAACAAAATCGTTCACTAAAAAATTTCTAGTTGAAAACCAACAAAGGAAAAAATTCTCATCATATCAAAGAATTTTAGTTATCTCAATTAGAATTATAAGATTCAATCAGAAAATTCTAATTCTTTGTTCATATCATCAACCAAAATTTCAATTAATGCAACCAGATTCTTTTTCCAGTGTTCTTTCCATACAAAAAACATAATAATAATTCGTTTAAGTTAAGCGAAATATAGAAAGCTACGAGAGAACTTTATCCATTGTTCGCGTATCACCGTGATATGACGGGTATGATTTCGCAGTGAGAATCACGTACGCACGTTACTATCACCTTTGAGAAATATGATCGAACAAAACAACTCACGTTCGAACTCTTCTCTTTATTTCAACGTTATCATTTGATTTAGGACAATTGTCAGTAAATTCAAACGCTCTCCCAGCTGGCAGAAATCATGTTTGGCTCACAAAAGATGTAACTGTGAGATAAAGCGACATTGCTGGCCATATATCGATTGGCTGAGGCACGAGGCAACCTGACGTTATAAAAGAAAGCACAAAGCCAATGTCGCTATTCTAACGGCGCATTGCCCGTTTCACGCAAAGTGAACATGATCGTAAAGAGAGTGAATCACAGATATCGACCCTCTCATTATTTTCCTTTTTAACGATACAGATTCTCCTTATCTCGAATAATTTTAAATATTTTTTTGTTTTCAAGTGATATAAATGTTCTTATCGTTTTATTTCGAAATTTTTAAGATATCTTCCTACATTTTATATAACATTCGAATATCGCACTCTCTGAATTGTTTCACGTACGGAATACTCGCTCTAGTCTGGAACACAAAAGCTGCTTGAAAAATTCAAACCTGCAAACTATGAACGCTCGTACATCTGCTTTTCCATGAGGGCATTCAAAGAAATCGTTACATCACACCTAATCGTCATTGCTAATTACGACAGAGCTCATACAAATTACGACAACTAACATATTCTATAACAAAGAACAGGTGGTGATAAATACAGTTTAAAAATGTTTCTTGTTTATAAGTGAATTATTATATTATACGGTGTACAATTTGTTAACCACAGTATATTTGAAATAGTATTTTTAATAAGTATAAACACAAATGTGATTTGAAAAAATTCTGTTTCGTAAATCGTAATGAAACTGCAATATAGATACGTAAATTAAGTTCTTTATGTCAATATTTATTTATTTATTTCTCTCCCTATTAAAAAATAATTTCAAATAGCTGATTAGATAATTGATTACGTAGCTGATAAGTAAAATAACGATACAACATAACAGTATTTTTTACGAATTTTAACATTTGAGGATGATGTATATCTCGAACTTGACTATGTAATTTCAGAGATGATTGAATATCGTCCCTTAATGGAAACAAGGTCCACAAAATTAATCACGAGGAATGTCTCCTACATTTTTAACTGATCGTATCGGTTGTTTTAATCAAGAGCCGCTCGTTAGGTCATCTTAAACCGTTTGAATTGTGGAAAGTTCCACAGCTGTGTGTCAGATAAATGGTATACTCGGTATCACATACGCTTTCATTTAGATAAGTATCTTCAAAATCGTATCCGTTCCAGATTAGATATCGAGAGCGTTTCCGAAGCAATATCTCTAACAATTTGATATGAATCAATAAAAAAATATTATAGGATAATGAGCGGCTCTGCGTGAGAATAGTTAAATTGTAGGGAGAGAGAGAGAGAGAGAGAGAGAGAGAGAGAGAGAGAAAGGACAGTTTATACTTTAATTTTATATTTAAAATCATCGTATATAATCTTGAGAATCAGTCAATGAAATGATCATCGCTCATTTGCTACAACACAACTAAAAAACAGAAAAAAAACAAAAAATAAATTTGAATATTTTTTGAATCACTAAAACTTTTTACGCGGAATGATGTTGCTGAAGTGTCTAAAAATTTGGTTAGATACAGATCTGAAAATAATTTTATTAGACGATCAAAATAATAATGCTGCAAAAAGTTCTGATATTCCAGCGACCAACTTGAATGACCTACATAATTATTTTGATTGTCGAACAAAATTATTTTCAGATCTGTATCTCATCAAATTTTATCTATATCTAAATACTTCAAAATCGTTCCATGTAATATTAATTTTGAAATGCAATTTTGATGTAATAACTGATTATAGAGGAATAAAATAATATCTAAGTATATTTTTTATTTTTTCTTTATGTTCTCATTCTTTTATTTCAAGCAACTACAAAATTATAAACGATAAATGTCATTGAAGCGAATGAGCTATCTTCAGATCTTGATAAGATTTTAAATACAAGATCCTGAGTTAAATCTCGTCCAGGATATTGATCATGTTATTTTTTTTTTCTAAGCGAAAATATGAAAATTTTTATACATGTGTGTATCGTGTATATACACATATATACAAAAAAAATGATGCTGAAGTGTAATAAATTCTATTCTATTTTACATACAAAAAAATGTTCACTTCTCACATTTCCACTGTAAGGAAAAAGTTACATAATTAACCCTCAAAGCTTAAGATCCCACGAATGTCCTGGTTTTACACGAGGCAGGTCGGAGAGTTGAAGGTCGCGAGTGACGGAGTTTGAGATGAGAATGGTCGCCCATTTCGGCAACCCATATTTTTACAGTTTTGTATTTTAACTGTCGCAAGCTGACAAGTCATTTTTTTCTTAACGATCAGTAATTATTTTCCTTGTAAATATTATTGCAAAATATTATTTTTTATTTAGACGCGATGTTATCGATTCAAGAAGGCTCTATCTCGGAAAGGCGTCGTGTCATTAAAAATATACGTCGATCGTCTAACGGAACAGCTGATGAGGCAACGGTACTGAACCTGTGACAAGTAGGTATACCATAATACGCGGAATAGATTTTTTTACGAGTTCGTCACGTGACCGCGACACGGAATCGACACTCCGCGTGGATTTCGTGCAATTGATTTTCAATACTTAATTCTCAAGGGATAGGATGCCGAATTGTCTCATTCCAACCGCATTCTATCCAGCGATTACGTTAGCGACAATCGTACCCGAGAATGTTCACCTGATATGCAAACCGTCTCATATTTCGATCCGTGACAAAGAAAACGCAATAATGATGATGATTACATGATACGAGATCGATCAGTTTATAAACAGGGAGAAAGAAAGAAGAAGGGAGGATGACGAAAAGGAGCTGATAGAAAAAAACAGAAATAAAAACACAAGATCAGGACGCGACGTGCAAGATGGCGACTCACAGGGAAGGCGAGGGCAAAAATGGCGCAGTTACGTGTACTCGCCGCTCGGGCTACTCACCAATTACTGGAAATTAAACTCGGCATTATCGGCTTTTTACTACTTTCACTATTACTTAACGACAGACTGGAGTTAATACTCATACTTCTTTCTTCGTAAAATTTTGGCGGCTTTAAGTGCACTGCTCCAACACGAAATGTTCGCTGGAGTAGCGATCGGCGACAATGGGAACTGATTGCGGCGGCTTACGGTAACACCCAGAGCATGCGAGATTCCACGACTTTCACCCAACAATGTTCGAAGCGACACTGCTGGAAATCGCGGCCGACTTCGTGGCGTGTATACAGCGCTGTTGTCCCTACCACGTGACGTCAGATCAAACGCTCCACGAATCAACGTGCGGTAAACTCCCACGTGCGCACAGGCGCCACTTGCGGATTTTCGAATGCTGGAACGTTCAAAAATCGAACACAAACCTGAGATCTCTATTTGCACGACACTCTTAATTTAATAACATCCATAGTTACGAAATTGACAAATTGTAGAATGGAACGACTATGATCGGCTAATTTCATAACGAATGTTATTAAACCCGATTAAGGGTGTCGTGTATAAAATATTATATATTAGGTCTGTTTTTTATTGCTCTGAACTGATGCAATAAGTTGAAGTGGAATACATGTATATTTATTTTATTTCAACTTATGGCACTTTGTATATTATTTCAGAAAGTGCAATAAAAAACAGACCTATAGCACCGATAAAATATTAAAGACCGTCAACCCTGGGCAAATTTTCGACAATATAAAAGAGCCCGGAGGTAATTGAAGAACGCTGACATTATCGACAATTGATATAAATTTGCTATTATTAACATAAATATTTGGCTAATACATTATTAAATTCACGATTTTTTGTTACACAAATGCTCCATAAATAAATATGTATACTTGTAAAACTGTAATATACTATATATTACCGAAAAATTACAATTTTTTTATCATTTCTGTTGATAATCAAACTTTGACGATAACACTGAAATCATAATTATAAAGAAAAATCGAGTATTATTGAATTCTAAATGCATAAATATGTATACTAAACTAATAAGTCATAAAATTAGTACAATATTATCAGTTTTTAACTCTTAATCACTTCAATATTCACAAGAATGCAAACTTCCGTAAGGAGTCGGTCTTTAATAATATTGGTGCCTATAGTCACTAATTCTTCGGACTTTGTGCCCTTTTTGCCAATGTAAATTAATTTTAATCTTGATTTTACTTACTTTTTATTATTTTCTTGTTTTAAAACCCGTTTCTATCAATGTAGATTAACTTTGATCTCAGTTCAAAATTGACTCTTTATTTTTTTCTAATTCTCAGAAAAAGAAGAGTTAATTAAACCTAGATTAAATTAAACATTGATAAAAATGGCCTAAGAAAAAAATAAAAAGCAAATTAAATCGACGTTAAAATTAATAATACGTGATCCGATCCTTCATGATATACGATGGTTATTTGCGTTCCGGATTAATTTTAATCACTTTAACAAATATATGAAAATTATTAATGCCTATTTCTACTAATGATTAATTTTAATCATTTAACTTAGTTTTTATTTTTCTAAAGTTCTAAGAATTAAAAAAGAATGAAGAGTAAGTTAAATCAAGATTAAAGTTAATCTATATTGATAGAAATAGACGTAAGTATGTGATTCTTACATATACTTTAACATCTTTACAAAATTTATAAGATTGTGTATTTAAAAAATTGTATACATATATGTTATTACTTAATACTTCTAATTTTTTGAAAAAAAAATGTGCAAGACATGAATGATCAAATCGTGGAATGATCATATCAAAGGTTCTATATTGGTAGAAATTAGGACTGTTAATTTTTGACAACTTCGAAGATTTGAAAGAATTCGAATCTTCGATTAGACGATCAATGCCTATTTCTACTAAAACTAAATGATTTGTTTCGAATGTCGAAGTCTTCGAAACAAATCATTAGCTCTAGTAGAAATAGACATTGATTGTCTAATCGACATTTATTTCGGAGTACTCATTCATCAGCAAATTAATGTCCATTTCTACTAATGGCCGTTTCTATTAATGTAAATTAATGTTTGGTTCAACTTATTCTTTATCTCTTTTTATCTCTGTTTATTTTTTAGAATTAGAAAAAGATTAAGAGTTAGTTGAACGAGATTAAAATTAAATTATATTGATAGAAACGGGCATATTATAATTTTAACAATTTACCTTTTTTTAATTCCTAGGACCAGAAAAAGATAAAAAGTAAATCAAGATTAAAGTTAATATACATTTGTAAAAATAGATATAAGGCATTTGTGAAAGAAATCCTAGGATTTTTCAATTGATAACACGATTATATTCGACAATCATTGCAAGAACAATGTGCTCTGGTTTTACTTAAGAGACATCGTCGACGAAGTTTTACATCGAATTCTTCTTAGAGCAATTTCTTTTTTATTCATTGCAATGTACAATATCTTTTCTTGCGAAGACATAAATACGCTCATGCATAAATAAATAAAGTGGATACTCTCTGCGCACTTTTTCTAGGGCATCTATCAGTAGATGGAAGATTCTCGAACATACGTTTTTTAATTACATAGAAGATATATTGAATTCGAAGAGGATTTAAAAAAGGAGAAAAGTACATGGCCATTAAGTGTTGGCATAAATCAAAATGCTCGGCCCTCGCCCTCAAAACGGTCAGACATTCTCAATTCTCGAAGTCTATCTTACAAAAATTTGGAATGTCCGCGGAATTCAGATATCTCGCTAAAGATCGCACAATAGATGTATGTCTTACTATCGATATCACTAAATGCTCGTAAATCGGAGTATACGTCAAGGCACAATGCGCTAGATTGTTCTTTACCTACCATTGTTTAACTAATTTAGACTCTTATATAAAAGGGACTAACCTTTTTTTTCATAGTACGTAATAAAATAGTATGTTCACGTTAGAGTTCCCTCGAGATAAATTGTCATGTAGGTACACATGCTATGATATGATACTTCAAAAAGTAAAACGCTTTAACAGATTCGATGAATAAATGGCAAAATATATAAACGGTAATAATAATAATAATAATAATAATAATAATATAATAATAATAATAATAATAATAATAATAATAATACTCTCTTATGTGCGTTTAAGTAACTAAGCTTAGCCGCACATAACTTGGCGGACAAAATCTTCGTAGTTGATATTACCCTGTGAATCTTCGTGACCCGCTAGTAACGTTTCCACTTCCTCGTCGCTGAGTTTCTCACCTGCAACGGTACAGATAAAAATTCTGCGCACACATATGTATTTGTCAAAGTAATCTGTTTAATGCGTACCGAGTGTCGTCAAAAGGTGTCGCAATTCCGCAGAAGATATGAAACCATTACCATCTTTGTCAAAGTGACGTAGGCCTTCGATAAAATCATCCGCCGTGTCAGAGGCACGAGACTTGCTGATCGCCTGGTAGATCGGTAGAAATACCTCAAAACTAATACGCTCGTCGGGTTTATGTTGATGAGTGAATTTCTTCACGTCTGATTCGGTCGGATTTTGACCAAGAGCGCGTAACGCGTCGCCGATTTGAGACACATGGATCTTTCCATCCCCGCGACTGTCAAACAACTGAAACGCCTCCTGAAATTCTACAGTGATACACTTACTTTTAATTACTTTCAAGCGTTCAATTCGTATTTTACATATAAAAATAATTTTAGGAACAGAGAGAGAAAGAATTATAAATGACAAAGCAAGTTTTAAGAAAAATATAAATGGAATAAAGATTATAGGTCTGTGTTCTTTTTCAAAGAGTGTCAACTGTACACCAGTGCAAATAAATATGGTTTGTTTCACTTCAACTTGTTACAACAATGTACAGTTTAGGAAAAAAAATTACATTCTTAAAAAACATTCTTCGAAATAAAATACATTCCTTGAAAAAAAATAAAATAATCTTTTGTAATTTTTCTTGCCACTATCTAGAATATATATATATATCAATTCTTAATACACAAGATAATTTTCCAGTTTGTTAATTTTCATTACTTTTTTATAAATATACAAAAATTATTAAGTAATTCTTACATATACCTTAACATTTTTTGAAGATTTGTATACAAAAAAAAAAGAAAAGGATAGAGATCATTACTTAGTCAGATGCTCCTAACATCTTAAACAAAGGAAATGCACAGAATACGAAGACCCAATCGTGTGTATCAAAAGTTAATTACTAAATTTCAAAGCTACTACAGAGTGTCATTCGACAATAGTATCATTTACCCTCCATGGATGACATCATTCTATTAGCCAGCTCCTGATAGCTATAAACGTACATCTTGGCACTTTTACGAAGAAAAATAAAACTTAGCAATTACTATAACAAATGATACAGTGTCAAAACACCAGGAACGTCTTACACCAGTCAATCTCTAAGCGCGTCTCGTATCAACAACGCATATGACTCGTATACTCGCGAGAGTAAAACAAGAATAATCAGCGAGTCTCAGACGGGAGCGTGATAAAGTCCTTCACAATGCCTACAGCAGTGGCGACTTGCTTTCAAATACCGGACCATAAAAGGCAGTCTTCGACAGGCGTGCGCGCGCGCGCGCGCGCATCAAGGGTGCGTCTAAAAAGGCGAGGATACTCTTGACCTGAATTAAAAGCCCCGAGGAGAAGAACGCGGCGCGGAGTGGACCATCGACCATATTGCCTCCCTCATTCACTCATTCGTTCGCAATCGCGAGTCCCTCTCTCTCTCTTTCTCTCTCTCGGTTCTCGTTCTGCATGGCTGTTGTTACACAAGTCGCCCTCCACTTACCGGCCAGCTGATCCTCGGAGTAAGACGCCTGCGAACATACGCACGTAGCGGACTCGTTTAGACGCATGCTCGTCGTGTCAGTTCGTGACAGTCGACGTGTTTCTTGCATCAGTTGCATCACACGCGGACGGTAACACACTTCCGTGATACTCACCATCGTCGAATGCTCCTTCGCAGCAACACGTCAGCAACAAGAAATGAGCAATGTGTCACGCGCGGATGTCCAGATACCCCGATGACGCTACCAAAGCTTTATTGTCGCGTAGCGAGCGAGCGGGCAAATGAACCTTATTTTCGTCAACGATGACGTAGACGGCGGAAGTGAGTCACGAACCCGCTTTTTTTTTCCCAAGCTGACCCGAATCTCGCGTATCTCGTACGTAAAAATATGGACTGCAATCACCGAGTAAACGTGAATATCAGTGAATGTTACAGAGCCTCTGACATCTCTCCGACGAAGTCACGAAGCTGAGGTTGATGATTTTCGCTCGATCTCTGCTTTACGCAGGCGACTGAAAATTTTCATCGTAGTGCCATCTATCGTTGTAGTCCGGTGATGTTAAACCGACAGCAGTGGAACAGCGAATACATTGGTCTCTTCTTTTACGACCGAGTTAGAATGCTGTAAACTGTCCCATAACAGTTGAAATTTCGGAAAATGGAATCTCATAAAAGTAATAAAGGATCATCAGAATTTTCTTGGATCGGATTTCGGAAAAACCAAGCAAGGGAATAAAGAAGAAGAAGAAAAAGAAGAAGAACCAATCAGAATTATTAGGATGCATTACTGCTCGTCTGCACTAGGAAGATAGACCATTCACCATGGTGGAATGATTATGAGGTAGATTTGCGCTCCATGTAATATTAGGAGATAAAAATAAGTGGATCAGAACGCGCTGAAAAACAATTTAGTAAAATTTAGTTAATTTTGTCTTCCGCATTTCCGCGCTCCATGTAATCGCACCCTAATGGTTCTACACTGGACGTGGAAACGCTTGCCGCGCGACAAAAAGTAGTGCGATAGCCAATAAGCTTACAGCTCCTAATGTGTGCATTGGTTACCGCGTCTCATTTCCAGTGTGCAGGAAACATAAGGTCGGAATCAGACTACGCATTAAAGAATGAGATTGAAGACTGAAAGATTGAAGTTTGTTCAGTCAGAACAAAAGGAGTCAAAATTTCTTTGTCTTCATTGATGAAATTTCAATCTTTAATCTTCAATCTCAATCTTCAATACATAGTCTGAGGGCCAGTTTCACGCGTTACATAATCGGACGTTAACTGACCAATCGCGTTTGCTGTTTAGTAGAATTGACCAATGTTGTGGTTGACAGTTAATCATAATTAAACTTGATCGGCATTGGTGAAACCGACTCTGATTCCGACCTAAGGAGACTTCGCTAATGTCCGTTTCCATCAATGTAGATAAACTTTAATCTTGATTCAACCTAAAAGTGAACCAATTTTGAATTTCGAGTTAAGTTTCAATTCTCGACACTCCAATAACTTAACTCCGTAAAGGCGATTTTGTCTACGATAATCTTTTTTTCTGTAAATCCTGATGAAGATCATGATTAATTGTTACAAAGTTACAATAAATTAATAGAAGAATAGATTTAAAAGAAATAAAAAAAGTGTAATCAGTAAAATAATATACAACAAATTATTACATTTTCTACAATTTATTCCCTTCTTTTTTATTCTTTCAACTTTAAATGTACCTAGATGTGTTGACCATCAACATTATCTAGTGACAAAAAACCGCGGATACTTTTTAGATGACCCAATATTTTTTGAGATTTCAAATAATTTGAACAGACCAGAAAGAAAAATCAGGTGATCGAAAGTCGCTCGGCGATTGGCTATTACAACGCATCTTTGATACGTGTCATCATCGTCATTGGACGAGAACAAGTGGTGGGATAAATCTTTTTGGCGGGATTTTCTGTACGCCTGCGTGGTGTCATCAACCACGTGATTACTCTTGATAAACTCGTATAAAGAGACGCAATACAGGTACAGTACTTTTTGAGCTAACATTTATTTATTTTTATATTTATTGTTATCACATTTAATAAAAATAAACAATAATATATAAATAAGTAATTTATAAAAATAACAATAATTAATTATTACAATTTAATGTGTTAAAATAAAGAATAATACTTTATATTTTTATATGATTTATTTACATTCAGCTTACATTGGCAAGAAAGGAATAAAATATTTTTATATCTTATAATGGAAAACTTTTAAAATTGTATGAGAACATTATATTAAATTTATAAATAATATAAATAATTGCAAGTAAATAATTAAAAACTTGATTCAGAAAGAAAAATTTATGTTATTTATGTTATTAAATTTACGAAAAAGAAAGTTATTATTCTAAACATTTCGTTTTAAATCACTATATAAATAATAATCAGATGTATTTTCAGATCTACATGTAAATTTAATTATCCAATTATCCAATAAATACTTTTTATTCTTATTTTTTTGTTTTGCAAGCAATATTTTTTTTCTGATAGTATAGCTGATATAACATATGTTTATATACACGTAATACGTAACGATGACTAATGTCCAATTCTAAAATAAATTTTTAATTACTTTTTATTTTTTTCTAATTCTAAAAGTTGAAAAAACTTTATAGAGTAAACTAAACCGAGATTAAAATTCATATATTTAGTAGAAATTAAAGGGACATAATTGTGAAAATATGTTATAACGTACGCACATTGCATAACCAACGCGTGCCAACGCGTATTGCGTACAGTTTCAAACATCGTCATATCATCGATATTGACGGTGGTCATCAGTTTGGGTACATCAATGCGATGCTACAAATGCTTTAAAGCAATTTTTGATTGGTTAATTTATAAAATTTTTTTTTCTAATTGGTCCATCAAATACTTCAAAGCATTTGTAGTCAAAGACTAACCATAGTCATCCGATGTGTGTTGGTTAGATGTGCAACGTTAGGTGTGCGTCAATCGACTTGCAATAATCCGTCGCAGTAAAACTGATTAAAACTCGGTACGACAGAATGCCACATACGAACGGCATTCAGTCTCGCAGATAAGATGTCTCATTTATGGCAACAAATATGTTTCTATTGTTTGGTGACAATCACGATTGTTTGTTCCCTCGTCTTCGCTGAGGATGCTTTGCTGCTGAAATCCTGCGATCAACATTTTAAGGATACACGCAGGTGATTGATTTCGATTCTTTTTCCTTTTCATTAAGTAGAGTGATGTTTTTGAAACGAACATTTTTTTCCACATTTGTCATCTTCCAAAGTGTCCTGCATGATTATCTTGTACATAACCATAAAATCTGAATGAAGAAGTCGAACGAAAATTTTATTAGACACCTGTTAATCTTCTACCAAAACTGTCTTTGAGAAAGCCTTAAAAATTTCTAGCATATAAAAATAAAATGTATATACACACATAAATGTCTAGCCATCTGAAGTTGCGTGCATATCAAAGAAGACATAAGAATGAATGAGAAGTAGGCACAAAGCTGAGAAAGCATGAAAATACATGAGGCCTGTTTTTTAGCTGAATTTTTGCACCAATTCATTTTTCTTCCTTTTCTCTCCAGGAGAAAACAAGAGGAAGAAAAATGAACTGGTGCAAAAGTGTAGCTAAAAAGAACAGATTTATAACTAAGCATTTATGTGTACCTTCTAACAAGCCTTCTAACAACCTTCTAACAATCACATAAGTGATATGGTGTGACACAATGGATCATTACATCCTTGTTATTTGCCAATGTTAAATAAAGATACATGATCACTGTGTTGCACTGTGTCACTTATTGGAAGGCACATTATATCCCTGTGTATACAAAGAACACATACTTTTGGAGCTTGTCCTTTATTGTTGTATTAAATTGCACTAAAACTTCTTGCTTACTTTCGTCAAACATCACATAAATATATATCTATCTATATTTCATTTTAAGTATCACGACTACTGTATAGCTACAATGGATGCAAAGTCTAGAAATTTCTATGGCTTAAAAGATACGATTGACAAAGGAACAACCAATATATGACTTAAAAGTTAGAATTAAATAACGAAATATTAATTATATGTTTGATATATCTGAATCTTGCTTATTAATAGTATTTTGTTTCACCAGTTTGATATTTGTCAGTACATTGGATGGAAATATATCAGCCCTCAATGCTAGCAACTATGGTAAAAAACAGTGGACTATTGATTTTAACAATGGACCAATGTTATCATCTAGTATTCATGACACAGAAGTAAGAAAGTGTCTATGAGCTTTCTTTATCTTTCAATGCTTGATATTATTATATAAATAACTATGACTTCTAGATAACATATTATTATTTGAGATAAAGTGTTAACACAAAGTATTAATTTATAGCTTAACAATAATGGACAATGGGTACGTTTAATCCCGTCTTTGAGTGGACAATTATATAAATTTGATGGAGAAAATTTGGAAACAATGCCAATAACTGCAGATCAATTATTACATTTATCACTTCGTTTTTCTGATGATTTAGTCTACGCTGGCGGCAAAGAACTTCATTCTTATGGTAGGTTTTAGTAGATTTTTTTTTTTTAGATTGTGTGTTATTTATTTTTATAATAAATATCAAGCATCTAGATGACAGGCTGATTAAAAGAAGCTTCTAACAGATAACTAAATTTTATTTAAATAAATTAAAACAGTTTTTAAACAGAATTTTAATTTAAAACTTAGGTATAAAAATTTATAATGCTAAAATTAGAAAATTTTTTTAAAGAACTATTTTATATTTTTTACTTAAAAATGTTAATACTATTTAGAAAATAATATTTTCTGTAAAATAGGTGTATTCGCCAATACAGGAGAAATAAAATATAAATGTGTTTCTGGTGTTTCTGAATGCAAAAATAACACAGATAGTCAAGAATATGTAGAAGAAGATATACTTATTATTCAACGTTTTCAACAAACTGTGCGAGCGATAGAAGATCGTGCAGGTAGTGAAAGGTGAACTAACATTTATTCCAGTTCTATTTATATTTAAAAAAATAAGGTACCAAATATACTAAAAAACATCATTTGTTTAAAGATGGAACTTTAGCGTTGGACAGTACGAATTAAAATTAAAATCTCCTGTTTCTTGTTCCAATGAAGACATTGCTCTAAATATAGAAATTAAAGCAGTTATTCCAGAAGGTTTGATTTGGGCTGTTGATAAAAGTAATCCTAAAGTTACATTATGGCAATATAAGGTTAGTATAACAATTATAATATTTAATATGCAAAATAATAAAAGTTATTATTTTTATTAGTTTGATTCTCCAATTGTTGCAATATGGCGTGGAGACGTTTCTTCAGGACCTTTGGAAAAAATTGATTTATTCGATACCTCTCAATGGGTCTGGGGATCAGAATATTCTGCAATTAGGCCAGGTTTATATCTAGGCATGCATGAAAGACAATTATATGTGCAAGAAAATTACAATAATAAAAATTTGTTAGAATCTAAGTATGTTCAATATGTAAAATATCCATGGCAGCCATATCCAGCAGCTAGTAAGCTTTTTAATTTATTTTATTGTATTGTATCTTTTTAATTTATTTTATTGTATATTTGCAAAGTTAACATTTATTATTAATACTTTTAAAAAATTCCAGTAACTGCTGTTGTAAATACTTTACCGAATAAAGATAACGATGAAGATTCCATTAAAATAAATGAAGCACAGAATGCAATTGCATTGTCTGTATTATATAGTTCAGAATATATTAATGGTAATATTTGAACAATTAATACATGCCAATATTTTCATTGCTAATTATAAAAATGGTCATAGTATAAAGTAGAGTAACTATAATATAAAATAGAGTAACTATATAATTTATAATTGTGAATTTATTTTTTTGTAGGTAATGGATTTTACTTATATTCAACGGATCAAGTAACTAATAAGCAATGTAATCATAGCAATTCTGATATTCTACTTATCACTAGCATGGAAAAATCTATGCAAAATTATGTCGAAGAGGAAAATATTATACCTACTAAAGTTGTGATGTCTATTTGGGATTGGTGGTAAGTTCTTAATTATAATCATATTTATGTAAAATATGAAATATATTATTTAAGTTTAACTTTTTTTGTTACTAGGAAAGAGATTTTAGTAATTTCGATTACAACTGCTTTTTTATTGAATTTTATGTTGACACAACGTTTCTTTAATGTAACGACAGTCGCTACTAAAGATGCCATACCTGCAGTAAGTAAATAAATAAACTGTATAATTATTCATATTTTTTATTTTCTTATTTAGCTATTTTGATTTTATATTTTATTTTAAATTAAATGAATCATGTTTCAGCCTCTAATAGTTGAAAGACATATAGAAACCAAAATAAGTGATACAACTGATAATAATGGTGACAATTTTTATTCACGTTTCTTAATGGATTATGAGCTAGTTGATTGCTTGGGAAAAGGAGGGTATGGCGTGGTTTTTGAAGTCAAAAATAAAATTGATGATTGCAATTATGCGATTAAAAGAATTGCATTGTCGAACAAGTTAGTACTTAATTATTTCTTCTCTTCTTTATTCTCTTCTTTTTCAGTCTTATAAAGACTTATAAGGTTTCTAAACTAAAGGATAACATTTAAAAGAATGATTATTTTTCATCCTTTTATTTTATTAATATTTATATTATATTAATGCTTAATTTTATATAAATTTAAAAAATGCAAATTTATCAGGATTTTTATAATGCAGTTTATTAAGACTTCTAAATTTATAAAGTAATCAATTATAGCGTCTAGTTGCACTTATAATATAAATATGATTATAACAATAAAACTTTAAATAAGAATTTTATTTATAAAATACTATTACAGCGAAGATTCAAGAGATCGCGTCACGAGAGAAGTAAGAGCATTAGCTAAATTGGAACACCTTAATATTGTAAGGTACTATTATGCTTGGTTAGAGTGTCCTCCTAGTGGATGGCAAGAAGAGCACGATCAACAATGGATTGATAAACTAAAATGTTCCACTGATTTTCTCTCGTCGGAAATAACTCAAACCGAGACAAAACTTAATCATTCTGTGTACATTGATGTTTCACAAACTGATCAATCTTCTGTAGAAAGTGCTTGTGAAGCTTTCGAATTAAATAAAGTGGCAAACGATGATTCATACATTATATTTGAAAGATCAAACGAGAAGCAATATGATAATAATTCGATTTGCATTGATACTTATAGTACTGAGAATTCGGATTTATCCATTTCGAGTAATATAACTGAAAAAGAATTATCCTATAATAATGAAACCGATTATTCTGAAAGTATTGTGTTTGAAGAAACTGATGATATTGCAAAAGAGAAAAAAAAACGCAAACCCCAAAAACCGTTTTCCTTAGATTTAAAGAAAAAGCCAAATACCAAGAAGTCTGCGAAAATGTTCCTATACATACAGATGCAGTTGTGCCAAAGACTCAGTTTGAGAGAGTGGTTAAAGCAGCACACATCAGAAAGAGATTTTAATCAGATATTAAATATCTTCCAACAAATAGTGGATGCTGTAGAGTATGTACATTTGCAAGGATTAATTCATCGAGATTTAAAGGTACCGTCTTAAAATATGGATAATAAAACTCTATTTTATATTTTATTTTGTAATAAAAAAAAATTGTTTTTTAGCCATCGAATATATTTTTTGCTCTTGACGGTAAGATAAAGATCGGCGATTTTGGACTCGTCACTGCGATGATTGACGGATGTGATAGGACTCATACACCTGCAGCTGAATATGAGAATGTTTCTTTAAAGAACAATGTGCATACTGCATGTGTTGGCACGCACTTATATATGTCACCTGAACAAATGAATGGCCAAAAAACTTACAACTACAAAGTAGATATTTATTCCTTAGGAATAATTTTTTTTGAACTCCTTATACCATTTTCTACTGACATGGAGAGAATAGCAACGTTATCAAATCTAAAAAAATCCATTTTTCCGAAAGATTTTTCGAAGAACTATCCTGCTGAGGTAAAGAAATTAAAAGAATACATCAATCATATATTATCTCATATATTACATATATATATATATGTATATATGTATATATACATAATGTTTTAATTGAAATTATTATGTAGAATATATATAAATATATCTCTTTTGCAGTATGATCTGCTCAAAATGATGTTAGATGAGGACCCCATGAAGCGACCTACAACATTAGGAATTAAAGCAAGACCTCCTTTGCAGAATTATGAAGTAGTTGATTTTAATACAGATAAAGATTCAAAATGGCATTTTGAATTGCCACAACTGACTAGACATTCCTCTTTAACTAACAGTAGTAACAGCAACGGCGAGTCTGAGAACATAAATTGAATGGATAAGTTGGAAATATTTTTGACATCTATTTTCTATGAAATAAAGAGTTTTCATTTTCTTTCTTTTTTTTTTTTAGGCAGATGTATTTGAATAGGATATATTTGTTAATTACCCATACAATATGAACTTCCAAGGATATTCTGAAGACATTTGGAAGATATAGTATTATGTCCTTTAAATGTCCTAAGAATATTTTCAGGATGTTTCTTGAATAAAATGTGGGTATGTCTTTATTAATTTGCATGTATATAGGAATTATGCTCGTAACAATTATTTGGATAACGATACTGCTAGATCTCTTTATCAATATTTTTTCAAAAATTTTGATATATTTTTTTAATAAAATCAAACTATAATTGTTATATCATTTTTTATAAATGTCATTTTATAATCATCCTCATCATTATCTTATCAATTTTATTTATTAAACATGTATAATTTTATGTCATTATTGATTATATAAATTTACTCTTTATAAGGCTGTAATAGAAAATGAATAATAACTTTTTAAATACAATATTATATTATACAAAAAATTTCGATTTCTGTAGTTCTTTTAGCTTATGTAAATCTCCTTTTCAACTTCAACTCCTTTTCCATCTTCCTATATCTCTCTTTCTTTATCTTATCTTCGTCTTTATCTTCTACAAAATTTATAATAAAATTTATTGCTCTTCCTGGTTAACTAAACATATCTATATAGAAAATCTCATTCGAATATCAGGATTTTTGTAAAAACTATCTCAAAACATAAATATCTACAAATAAGATTATACATTCTAATGAGCACGGGTTTATCAAAGTTTAGGAGTGTTTTTGTTCTTTTTACCTGAATTTTTGTACCAGTTCATCTTTCTTCTTCTTTCTGCCTGAAAAAAAAAAGAAAAAAGATGAACTGGTGCAAAAGTATAGCCAAAAAGAACAGACCTACATTTTCGCATGCACATATATTAGCAAATATTGTTGACTTGATTCGAATATGCTGGAATATATTGTATTTTGTAAACAATTGATGACAGAAAAATATCAGAACACTCCTCGTCTCGATCCCAGGCTTCCCCCCTCTGTTCTCTTCTCCATGTTGGTAGACTTTCGTTCTGCCACTGAGTCAATGGCCCTGACGCTATTGGTATCTCTGTTGTGTCTAAATCTAGTAAATTTTTTACAGCTTGACGCGCGCTGCCTACGCCATGTCACTATCGGTATTGCCGGTGCCGGTCTGGCGCGAATGAGCGTTGTGGAGTGTAGTTGGAGAACTTGGAGGTTAATTGATTAGAGTTACACTTGAAGTTTTTTTGCTTACATCGAATTATAGCAAGATCATACAAATACAGTATCAAATATGTAATTATGTCAATTTATCTTATATCATTCTAAAACTTTTCAAAAACTTTACATTCTAATAATTTCAATAAAAGATACACATTCAGATTTAACCTATAATTTTAATACGTTGTCTTATTTTCGTAATTTTTAAATTAAATTATTTTGTTTTTTTGTGTATTAAAAGTATTGAATGGTTTTCTTGATATCAAAATAGCTATAAAAGAAAAATTTATTAAGGAAAAATTTATCTCTTAAGGTTTTTAAGATCTATATGATATTGTAACTTAAAATTAATTTGCAAATATTTACATATTCATATATCTTGTCTTTTTCTAGTAATATTTTTAGAAAATGAGGAATATGACGCTTACAGAAATGGAGCCTTTAAAAATGCATTTAGACTCGTTAGAGATGGCTGGAAAAATGGTAGATAAACATATTATTGCAGATAGCAATTTTCCATCTTTAATTAATCTTATGCGATATAATGTGCAAGGTAAATTATACATTGGTTACATAAAGAATTAGTACATTAATATTATAAATATAATTGTGAAGGATTATAATTATAATTAACAATTATAATTAATATATTCTCCATAGGTGGACCAACTGTTAGTGGTCTCGATGATCATGACTATCCTAATTTAAATGGTGCATCAATGACTTTAACAAATATTAATCAAATGAAGATGCTTAATAAAATTCCTTTGCCTTCTGAAGTCATGGAACACTTTGGCCGTATCCTTTCTAAAAAATAGTAAAAATAAATACTTTATTATGTATCAATTGTTCTTAGTTGTAAACTATAATAATATTTATAGTATAAATTGATTGAAAAGTTAAAAGTTATAAGTAAGGAGTATGATATGAATTATAGCCCATTTTGAAATTCCAATTCCAATAATATTCCTTTTTACTTACCACCTTCAAATTTCTAATCAACTTCTCATTACATGGGATGGATCTGAAATATGGGATGAGACTTATCAATTATGACTCGGCTATTTTTACATAAAGTCTAAATCATTATAACTGTTTTATGATTATTAAATATATTTAATCCTTAATAAAATTGTAGATATGCAATGTCATTGTATGATGGGTCTTTTCACAGAGATTTCAAAAGCATGGCTTACAATTGATAGTGATATTTATCTGTGGTCATATGAAAATGAGTAAGTATTAATATTTTGAATTTTATAAATATGAATTTATAAATTTATATACATGAAACTAAAATATTTAAATTTTTTTTGCTCTAAAATTGTATAGATCTGATGTTGCTTACTTTGATGGTTTAAATGAAACTATTATAAGCGTAGGCTTAGTAAAACCCAAGGCAGGAATCTTTCAGAGCTATGTGAAATACTTGTTAATTCTTACAACAACGGTAGAAATAACTATTCTTGGTGTGACAATACCCGATGCTGGAGGAGGTAATAATTTATAACAATTCTGTTTATTTGTGTTTATTAAGAATTATTCTTTAATTAAATTTAATCTTTTTTTTCATATATATCCACAGAAATGCAGTTAGTTCCAGAACCGATCTTTACTGTTACTACTGATGGAATAGGAATTACTACAATTGCTAATACTAATAGTGGCAGAATATTTCTTGGTGGTAGAAATGGATCACTTTTTGAAATATATTATCAGGTTAAAAATCTTTACCAGTTTAAAACAGATTTTATTCTTAGTTTTATTTTTTAAGTTCATTTTATTGTTCTGTATCAATGAATTTTTTCGCATATAGGCAGAGAGCAGCTGGTTCGGCAAACGTTGTAAAAAAGTTAATCATTCAGAAGGTCCATTATCATTTCTAGTGCCATCATTTGTCACTATGGCACTGTCAGAGGAAGAAGCTATAATACAAATATCTGTGGATGATTCGCGTAATATTTTGTATACTTTGGGTGATAGAGGCACAATTACGGTTTGGGATATTGATAATGGTGGCGCATCTAAAATCACTTCATTATCTCAAGCTTCTTTGGTTCAAAATACTGTTCATGTTGTTAAGTTAGTAATCTTTTATTAATGTTACATATACTTAATATACAGAGAGTACTTATATAATAACTAACACAAATAGAATTATATAATAACTAACATAAATAGAATTATTAAAACTTATTTTTTCCAGAACTCTGGATAGTAACAATTTTCGACCTCTTGTAAGCATATCAGCCATAATGGAATCCGAATCGATACATTTGAATTTGGTTGTTGTTGCGGCAACAGGAACTCGTTTTTACTTCAGTTGCACTTCAATTTCAAATCCGTCGAGTAGACCACAAGGTTTACAATTGATACATGTTAGGCTACCACCAGGCTATGCTGCAAATGCTCCAGTAATGAGACCACGAAAAGTACAAATGGCCTATTATCGAAAGGGTAATTTATTTTTTTATAATATATCTTGAATAACACATTCGATTTGAATATAATTTAATTAATCATTGCATTATGTAAAATATCTTATAGGGACCCTTTTTCTTGTTTGCGGTGGTGATACGGAAACAGCATGGTGTTTGAGTAACGATGCTTATCCATTCACAAATTACTTGGCTGAAACTCAAAGTATTTTGCCTCTTGATAGTCCAGCTTGGGCTATGGAGGAAATCATAAGAGATTCAGCTATACACATAGAAAAGCAAAGTAGTGCTCAGGGTGAACCTCCTCTATTAGTGCGCCAACATATGGAACCACCAAGGAAATTTATATTCTTAACAGCACAGGTATATATATGATATATTTTTATCATATCTATATGATACATGCACATATATTGGTTATTATTATTATATTTATTTTGTCACAGGGAGCGATAATCTTAATGCAAATCCGTCCTGTAGATATACTGAAACAAGTTCTCTTAGAACAACGTGGCCCTGATACTGAAGTAGTACGCGCATATTTTCAAACACAATCCTTGGAACAAGCTTGTGCTACATGCCTAATTTTGGCAACACTTGAGAGTTCTCAAAATGCTCAAGTAATGATATATTTTTATATATATTTATCAAATTTTACTTTAAGCGAGTGGAACTATATTATCTGAATTTGAAATTGCTCCATCCAAAAGTTGCTCTGTTAGTTTATTAGTCCCAATACTAAATTTATTGTAGTGAATCTTATGAGATTGCTCAAACTCCCCCTCCTTTAGATCCTTAGCTTAATTCTAGAATCTACATCTTTTTTAACTGTGCAAATTACTGTCATCAATCTCCTCTTATAAAGAGAAATATGGGAATAATCGAGATCGATACTTGGGATCCGTTAATTATGAATTTTCTTTCACACGAAACACATGTTATCATCTTTAAATTTTATTTATATTTTTTAATTTATATTGTTAATTTTGTTTTATACTATATATACTATGTATTATTAATAACAATAAACATTTTTTATGTTGTAGTTGTCGGAATGGGCAACTCGCGCATTCTTCCTATATGGTGGTCAAAGAATAGCAGGAATATGTGCTCCGATTGATATGCATTCTGGTTTCCCTACCATACCAGGTATAGTATTGTGTTCTCTTAGAATTAAAATATCCATATAATATTTCATTTATATATTTGATTTACATTTTAACATAGCAGATTTACGCACATCTACGCCCAGAGTGCCAACTTTCGATTCTAGAGTCCAACCCTTCCGATCACCTACGCAAATGGGGCTTACCACAGACATTAGTTTGCAACATTTTTCTGCTAAACAT